GTTACAGCACAGCATTCTTGGTCACAGGGACGATGGGCGAATATATGTAGATGAGTTGGTGCAAACACTAGTTTCAAACCTGGGGGAAAACAGTTGCATCATTTTCTGATAGAAAGTATGTCATGTGACTTAATAAAACAATTCAAGCACAAATGGTACTGGATCCTTCATGTCCAGACATTTGTGCTGAAAATTCTTTTCTCTTGGGGGCTAAGGTTACCCCACTCTACTCATCCAAGAAGTAATCAACTGCAAGGCCATGTTAAGCATCATCCCTTCAATGTATTTCATTGCCAGTTTGAAACAAACTTTAAATAACTACACAGAAGTTACTGTTTTGCTTTCTTTTCCCCCTAAAGTTGTTCTGTGTTTCGGTGATTTTATAATCATTGAGGAAAACGACTGCATTGTGGTCTGTTTTAAACTTTCTAACTTGAGCTGTTACTGCTGCTGCTCAAATAGACTCAAATGTTTTCTCTTCACAGGTATGAGAAAAATCTTGTGTTTGCCCAGCGTTGGGGAATTCGGAAAGGGATAGTGATGGGATTCTTTACTGGATTCATGTGGTGTCTCATCTTCTTGTGTTATGCGCTGGCCTTCTGGTATGGCTCCAAACTTGTCCTGGATGAGGGAGAATATACAGCAGGAACCCTTGTCCAGGTACTTTGATTTTGATCACCTCCAGATAACATTTCCTGCTGGTATCTCAGAAAACCCCTCAGATATAGCATTTTGTGTATTCCTTCAGTGTCTGAGGTGGGAAAGCATCAATGATTTGATGGAGTCCATCTGCAGAAACAAGCAATACTTAAACATTTTATTGTAAAGGGATGCTGAGTGTTTGAATTGACGCAACCAGCGATTTAACGATTTTCAATTAAATGAAGATTTTATAGCTGTAAAACAATGATTTTCTGACTGAGTCCAAAAGATAATATGCCATGAATATTGAAAGCCAGTGATCTCTGAGCTAAAAATTAACAGCTCATGTAGTTGAGCTTAATAAGAGTACAAGATATGTGCTAACGGATGTATTTGTGAAATATAATGAGTTACTAAAATACCAGTCCAATAATATCCCCTACTGAACAGGTACTACAACCACATTTTATTGCTCACTTGTGCTATAGCCATGCCATAGCTAATGCCATGGCTACTTTAATTTTCAGTATCTTTTCAAGAATTAGTTATTGAGTATCTACTATATGCCAGACCCATACAAAATGCAGGGGATTCAATAACGAGCAAAAGAAATGTGATCTTTGCCCTGATGGAATTTGTAGAATAGTGGGGAAGATAAGCAATAAATAAATAATCAAATAAATGCATAATGGCAAATGGAAATGTGCTGTAGAGGACAGGGGACCGTGACAGCAAACCACAGGGTGTAGCTGGTGTCAGGCAAAGCTCTTTCTCCTGCTCATTATTCCAAGGCCTTTCCTCCTTAGCCTAGGACCTCTCTTGTTAAAGCTGGACTCTTGTCCTTGTTTGGATTCTCAGCTGAATGGCATGCCCACAGCCAGGCCTTCCACGCTCATTTCATCTTTTATTCTCCTGTATGGCTTGCTGAAATTTTCCTTCAGAGCACTTGAATGAAATTGAACATTTGCATTTATTAACATTTGTTCCCACCCTTACACGGTAAGCTCCATGGGGTCAGGGAGGTAAAACATGAAATGTATGTTTCATTTGGCCTATTAATTATTTAATCACATATATGAATTTTAAAAGCATGGAGATGGGAAGAGGTTTCATATATGATTCTTAAATAAAATATTTTGGTTTCAGAATCTAGGTAGGACAAGTGCCAATTAAACAA